AAAACGACGAACGCGCTACACACGTTGGGTATCGCCGCGCACGCCAGAGTGAGAGCAATAATTCTAGGGCATCTCTAAATTGATGACCTGTGGGGGCTTTTAAAGCGTCTTCTATGGGCTTTTTGGGGTACTGGGGTTTTTCGCCGTTTCACGGTCGCACGCAATTTGTAACCTGGCCATGTTGGGTATCGTTTTACTCGTTGTAACCTCATCTTTTATATTTCATTAACAAAATGGGTATTTTGTTGTGTTTTGGGGCATTTAATTAAATTTTTCACTAAATGTTGGGGTTTAATAAGGAGTTGCGCTAATATTGCGCAACATAAAAATTTGCAACTACCACCATTTTATTCTATAGGGTCTTGGCATTCAGAAAATATATAATGTTGGGGGGTTTTAAGTAATTTTCAGGCCTAAAATGTGGAATATAACATGGGTGCAAAAAATGAAAAAAAGGCCTCAGTCATGAAGGGGTTAAAGCAGAACTCCGGGCATGCTCTCTCTTAACCCTCGCAGTGTGGCTACCTCTGACCTGCAAGGGTTAACTGCTAAAAATAACAAAGAAATACTCACCTGATCCACAGAAACGGCTTGCTCTTGGACCGGTCCCTGGAGCCCCCCCCGCCTCCCCTTCCTCCGCAGCAGTCTCAGATCCCGTGAGCCATCTCAATCTATACAGCGTGCAGGACTTGGGGACGCCGAGGGACAGTCTATCGCTGGCAGGGATGCAGCTACTCGTACTCGCCCAAATACTCCGATACCGGAACTTCAAGATTTCCTCTGACCGGCAGTACCGCAGGAGAACATGGAGGGAACATGGATTCCCGGGCAGCAAGTTATGACCAACCTCCCGGCTTCCTGATTGGCCGGGAAGCCGGGTTGATGTCGATTGGCTGGGAGGCCGGTTTCCCAGCCTATCACAATTGAGCCGCCAAACAGCATGGAGCAATCAGGAAGCCAGGAGGGGGAGGGGGGTCATTACTCACCACCTGGCTTCCTGATGGGCCGGGACGCCAGCTCGATGCCGATAGGCCGGGAATCCAGCTTCCCAGCCAACCACCATCGAGCCTGGGCCGAACAACATGGAGCTGGCTTTCCGGGCAATGTCGTTACCCGCTGCCTGGCTTCCTAATTGCCTGGGAAGCCGACTCCGTGCCAGCGGAAGCACTCGGTATCGGCGAGTACCGAAAACAAAATATCAGTACCGAAAAAACTGGTACCGGTGCGTCCCAAAACTGCAGCCACCTAAGGTCCCGGAGTCATCACATTCTATACAGAGTGTACAGGACGTGAGGACGCCCAGGGACAGTCCATCAATGCTGCAGCGGAGGAGAACACAGGCTGCAGGGAGCACTGTCACCACCGGCCATCTCTGAGGATCGGGTGAGCACAATTTATTTTCAGCCCTCGACCAACATGAGAAGTATTATTAACCCTTGAAGCCCTGGGGGAGCCTCACTGCAAGGGGTAATAAACTCCCCAGAGTTCTTCCTTTAATGTGTAACATGAAGCGTGATCACATACAGCATACCCAAACCCTGAACCGCCCCCAAACCCAGATACCCTGGCTTCAAGGAGAACTATGAGGGGAGCGATTTTCACTGATCCTCATAATCTAAACTGACCTGTGACAATGAGACTGTCACAGGTCGGCTCAGTAGATCGGGAGGTGAGCGAACACATACCGGCGTTCGCTCACCTCTCGATCCTGTCCCTGCAGAGAGCCGTGACTGTCACTCACCGCTCCCTGCAGGGATTCTCCCCCCCTCCCCTCTCTGATCCTCCAGTGCTGACTGGCGGAACGAACGGGGGCGGGTACAGCTGGCTCTGCCTCTAGATAGGCAGAAACAGCTGTCAATCACGCAGCTGGGCGGATCCAGACAGTAATGTCGGGATCCGTCCCGGCTGCGGCGGTCTCAGTATATAGAGAGCTGTAGCCCGCTATATACTGAGCCTAGGGTGACGGGAGGACGCTAGTTTGTGTCTTCCCGTTACCCTAAGGAGAACTATGGGGAAAAGCCTTAACCCCATAGTTCTCCTTTAATAAAGAAGGGGTCCCCAACAAACATATCACCATAGTTACCCAACTACCCGGAAGTGAGGTCGCCTTGCAGCCACGAGGGTGCCGCCTCCGCTCACCAGTATTTGTCAGGCCTGCTGCTTGAATATGAGCACACGCAGCCCCGATGGCCATCTTCTTCTGCAGGCCCCTGATAGGCGCATTCACTTCTGACTCTCTGCGGACGAATTCTATTCATTCTTATTGGACTAAATCTGTTAATACGGCGGATCATCCTGCCCCGGTCTCTGTTTACATTGTCTGCAGACCATCCCAATCTGTTTGCATTAAAAAGAAACACTCCGGGTCTGCAAGGGTTAACTGCCCGTTTTCATCCGGGGACTAAAGAACGGCGAACCTCGGATCTGTCCAGCTGTCACATTGCTCACTCCAGCCCGTCTCCTCCCATGCTACAGTGATGATATGTCCCTTGGCGTCCTCACGTCCTATGCAATAACTCCTTAGACCTCTGCAGTACAGGGGGAGACATGATGGAAGGACCGGTCTAAATACAAGCCAGCTCGGAAGATCGGAACTTTTTTTTATTCGAGACAAAAACGAGCCGTTAACCCTTGAAGTGCAGAGATAGCCACCCGCACTGCAAGGGTTAACAACATTTTCCCCGGAGTGTTTCTTTAAGGTGCCGCATGATCTGCATACAATGGGCTTCTCTACAAAGTGATGACATGATTCCAAATACCATCCCTGTGGAAAGTCTATTTATGATCACAGACATCCTCTGTATGATGTATTGCACGCCGAGCCGAGGTATAGGGGGGGGAGGGGGGGTGTATAATAACATATAGTCCGCTGTCTACAAAAGGCGCGTGCGTGTACTCACCGTGACCCAGCTGATCTGTGCTCCCAGGTCTCTAAAGTACAGAGTCGCCGTTGTTCCCACCGGCAGGTTCTGCAGAATGTCCTCATCTTTCAGAGACCGTCCCTCTGTCATAGAGATCATAGAGATAGAGAGTGACCATGTACTCCGATCGCATACATAAATCACACATGTACTATCAGGGGACAGCAACATTAACCGCTCATGGACCTTGTTAGCCCCCAATGTGATAGCAATAAAGTTGAATGTAAAAAAAAATAATAATAATTAAAAGTAACATAAAAAAAAAAATGTTTTAAAGTCCACCCCCCTCATATAACGCAAACACATGTCGGGTGCGCCTACGTGCGAAAATGAAAATTGTGCATATTGCTGCAAACGTCGGAGTGAGAGGAATAATTCTCGGCCCATCGATCACTGTGAGCACTAAACTGATGAGCTGTAAAAGCATTTAAAGTGTCCCCTATGGGAAATTTTGGGGTATTGTAGTTTTTTTGCGGTCTCACGGACGCACGCAATTTTAAGGCTTGACGTGTTTGGTGTCTATTTACCCGGTGTGACCCCACCTTTTATATTTTACCAAAAAATTGGGTATCATATTCTGTTGCTGAGCACTAAATTTCATTTTAGTGTATTTTATCCTAAAAATAGTGATTTGATAAACATTTGTGCAAATACCGTGTGACATAGAAAATTGCAACCAGCATCTTTTTATTTTACAAGGCCTCTGCTGTCAGAACATATATCATTGTTTGGGGGTCTGAAGCTGTTTTCTAGCCAAAAAATAGGATTTTGGTACTCACCGTAAAATCCTTTTCTCTCCGCTCATTGAAGGACACAGGGAACAGATCGGAGATCATGTACTGTAGGGTAATATCGCCACCTGCAGGAGAAGGACGCTAGGCACAAAAAACTAAAGACCAATTACAGCCTAGGGGCGGCCCCTGCTGGTGGCCAAACCCCCCACCTGCTGACAAGTCTCCAGTTTAGCAACAAGCAGTAAAGGAGTACACACCCACATAGAGGGGCGGGCCCTGTGTCCTTCAATGAACGGAGAGAAAAGGATTTTACGGTGAGTACCAAAATCCTATTTTCTCTCCCGTTCATTGAAGGACACAGGGAACAGACAGGGTACTGTAGGGACGTCACATAGCAGTACCAAAAATTGTGCCTAGCGTCCTTCTCCTGCAGGTGGCGATATTACCCTACAGTACATGATCTCCGATCTGTTCCCTGTGTCCTTCAATGAACGGGAGAGAAATTCAGATTTTATCATCGTGTGTGTGCAAATGTGAGAAATTCATGACTGAGGCCTTTTTTTTGCACACATGTTATAATCCACATTTTAGGCCTAAAAAATTCTTAAAACCGCCAAACACAATATATTTTCTAAAAGCCAAGACCCTGTAGAATAAAATGGCGGCAGTTGCAAATTTTTATGCAGCAGGACATTAGTGCAACGTATTATCAAACCCCAGACTTTAGTGAAAAATGCATTTAAATCCCCCAAAACACAATCAAATACCCATTTGTTTTATAAAATATAAAAGATGAGGTTATAACGAGTAAATAGACACCCGACATGCCCGGGTTAAAAATTGTGCGCTTGATGCTCCCTCATCCTTTGTTGAGGGAGCATGGAGCTGGCTTCCCGGCCAATCAGGAATCAATGACTCGCTGCCTGGCTTCCTGATTGCTCGGGAAGATGGCCAATCAGGAAGCCGGACGGCGAGTCATTACTTGACCTCCGGCTTCCTGATTGGCCAGAAAGCCGGCTCTATGCTTCCTCGTCATCTGGTGATGAGGGAGCATGGAGACGGCTTCCCTGCTAATCAGGAAGCCGGGTGGGAAGCCATTACACTTCCCTAATGGGATTTCCGGTATCGGTATTCGGTATCGGCGAGTACAGGGAAAAAAAATATACCCGAAAACCAGCATCGGTGCATCCCTAACCCGTCTACCAATACGCATTAAAAATAGGAGGTTTTAGTTGCACAACTTTTTGCCAAAAGTATGTGGAACCCGCACTGCCCCTCAGTGTAGTGTGGCCCTAACTCTAATTTTGACCCCCCATATTGGAGCATATCCAAGCAGTTGATAAATTGAATGCAGGTGTGCCTGGAGGGAGCCCACTCCTCCTTAAAGGCCCAGCAATCCAAAATACAAGCTGGGGAGCCCAGGTGCGTCCCCACACCAAACACAGCCAAGCCAAAGATACATGGCGACCGCACAATTTATAATCGGCCTTTGTAGCAAGGTGCACACGGAAGGGCTCGCAGGGGCTTTGTATTGTTATAAGCCCTTCCGTGTGCACCTTGCTACAAAGGCTGCTTATAAATTGTGCGGTCGCCATGTATCTTTGGCTTAGCTGTGTTTGGTGTGGGGACACGCCCGGGGTCCCCAGCGTGCATTTTGGATGGAAAAAACCCGTGTGAGCCCTTCCATGTGCACCTTGCTACAAAGGCTGCTTATAAATTGTGCGGTCGCCATGTTTACCCGGAGTTCTGCTTTAACATCTAATGCCGGATATCTAAAACTCGGACTTCTTTGGGTTCCTCCCGCACACACACAATCATGTTTTGGTCCTTTGTGAACACTCCTCATATTAAAGTGTATAGGAATGCCCTGATGTCCTCTCATTTGTCGGATGGTGAACACTCCCCCTCTGCAATGTCCTACAAGCATAACAATGACTTACTGGGGTCCAAACGTAATGACTGTCGGGCCGGGTACCACTCAGGATCTAGAAAACAAGAAACATTTTTAAGCACAATTTATTAACAAATGCGGAGTAGACTTCAAGCCGAGAGCAGGACTACAGAATCACCACCCACCCGTTCACACTTGTGTGCTGAGGCCTTTCAACAGGAGTTGACAAATTACATGGCAACGCACCGGCTCTGCGTAGGATGCACGGCAGTGACGGTCATTGTGAATGTCCCACCAATGCATTACACAGTTACATATTTAGTCAGGTTGGAAAAAAAAAAAGAAGTTCATTGAGTTCAACCTATAGTGTTCCATGATTGTATCATGGGACCCAACACACAGCAGTACATCACAATACATCTACCATGAAGGGGTCGATTTATAAGCAATTAGCTGTGAATATCTGTGAACGTTCCATCTGTGCAAATATAACATTCTTTAGTTTTTTTTCTTTACAAGCGGAGTGAATTTTTGAATGTTTTTTACATGTAATGTCACATTATGGCCACTGGATGGCGCTAGAGAAACATAGAATAGAAGTATTTATTGTCTGTGCTCTCCCCCGCCATCTAGTGGCCATAGTGCGTTATTGCATTAAAAACAAACATTGAAAAATACATTCCCCTGTACAGAAACAACCGTTTTGGCATATATACGCACAGAATGAAGATTTGCAGATATTTACCGGGCGAAAAACCCTGCAAATACTTTATACCCGCAAGTGTTGGGGTGTACTGCATTGTTAAAGGTTCATGTATGTTTTTTTTAATCTGCTGTGGTGCATTAGAAGCCCACTCATAATCGATGGGCTGCCTTAACATAACACACATTAACATGTATGTGCTAACGCACTGCAACCGAACCTTTAAGTGAATATGGGCCCCTGACTCAATAGTAGTTTGTCGCATTCAAATGGATTTGCTCAGTAAATCTGAAGAAGTTTCACTGCTCATCCTTGCAGCTTCCTCAGCTCTAGTGACAGAGGAAGGAACTGAGCAAGCCAATTGGATGAGACTGCGGGCATCAGGGCTGAGGGCTCTTGGGAGCAGTACCGAGGCAGGGTGCTGGGATGTTTTCAGGAAGCTATGTACAGCTCCTTGCCAGCCCCTCCCACCAGCCATGTGCAGCTCCTTCCCAGCCCCTCCCACCAGCCATGTGCAGGATCCTGCCAGCCCCTCCCACCAGCCATGTGCAGCTCCCTGCTGGCCCTTCCCACCAGCCATGTGCAGCTCCCTGCCAGCCCCTCCCAGCAGCCATGTACAGCACCCTCCCAGCAGCCATGTAGAGCACCCTGCCGATCCCTCCACCAGCCATATACAGCACCCTGCCGGCCCCTCCCACCAGCGATATACAGCACCCTGCCGGCCCCTCCCACCAGCGATATACAGCACCCTGCCGGCCCCTCCCACCAGCGATATACAGCACCCTGCCGGCCCCTCCCACCAGCGATATACAGCACCCTGCCGGCCCCTCCCACCAGCGATATACAGCACCCTGCCGGCCCCTCCCACCAGCGATATACAGCACCCTGCCGGCCCCTCCCACCAGCGATATACAGCACCCTGCCGGCCCCTCCCACCAGCGATATACAGCACCCTGCCGGCCCCTCCCACCAGCGATATACAGCACCCTGCCGGCCCCTCCCACCAGCGATATACAGCACCCTGCCGGCCCCTCCCACCAGCGATATACAGCACCCTGCCGGCCCCTCCCACCAGCGATATACAGCACCCTGCCGGCCCCTCCCACCAGCGATATACAGCACCCTGCCGGCCCCTCCCACCAGCGATATACAGCACCCTGCCGGCCCCTCCCACCAGCGATGTACAGCACCCTGCCGGCCCCTCCCACCAGCCATGTGCCGCTCCCTGCCGGCCCCTCCCACCAGCCATGTACAGCACCCTACCAGCCCCTCCCACCAGCCATGATCTGCATATAGAAGCAGTATTTTGCCCAAATCCTTGAAGAGTGCACTTATTTTTTTGCCCCCTGTACCCCTGATCTATATGGTCCCACCCTCCCCCTCTGCAGATCTGTACTTAATACGATCCCACAGGCTCGGTGCCGCTATTGTTTTTGCATAACTGGGGGTCCCCGGTTCAAATCCTATCCAGGACACTATCTGCATGGAGTTTGCATGTTCTACCCGTACTTGCCTGGGTTTCCTCCGGGCACAACGGTTCTGCTATTGTTTACATCCAGCGCCACAATGCTCCCTCTGCTGGCTGCACCTGCACATTACAGCCCCATAGACATCTTATGGGCCGTTCCCCAGCTGGTGGGTGTGCACGACCGGGAGAGGGAGACTTGCAGCGCTGTCTGTCAACGAAAAGGCAGAGAAGGGACCCTCAGATCTTAGTAAGTACACATCTGTGGAGGGTCATATAGATCGGGGGCAAAAAGAATGAGTGCGTGGATGGGGGATACTTTCCTGCTGGCCATTTGGTAAGCTGGACCCGGCGGCTGTCAAGTTGGCAGCAGTCACTATTTGTCTGACAATTTTCAGTGGAAAGTTTGTGGAGCCGGCAGGGCCAAACACGGAGCAAATTGATTCAGTAGGAAACAAATGAAATCCAATCCACGTATTGCCAGCTTAGCTCCGGAGGTGATACATCCGGGAAGTGTTCAGAATCTCCGGCACACTGCTAACAAAACTTGCAGGTGGCCAAAAAATATCCCGCAATTAAAGGAGAACTATGAGGCGAGTGATTTTTCCCCAGCCTCATAATCTGACCCGGCGTGTGACAATGAGACTGTCACAGGTCGGCTCAATAGATCGGGAAGTGAGCGCAAACATACCGTCGCTCGCTCACTTCTCGATCCTGTCCCTGCAGAGAGCCGTGACTGTCACTCACGGCTCCCTGCAGGGATTCCCCCCCCCCTCCCCTGTCCGATCCTCCCGCGCTGACTGGCGGAATGGACGGGGGAGGGGGCGGGTACAGCTGGCTCTGCCTCTAGATAGGCAGAGCCAGATGTCAGTCGCGCAGCTGGGCGGATCCAGACAGCAATGTCGGTATCCGCTCTGGCTGCGGCGATCTCAGTATACCTCGAGCTGTGGCTCCCTATATACTGAGCTTAGGGTGACGGGAGGACGCTAGTTTGTGTCCTCCCGTTACCCTAAGGAGAACTATGGGGAAAAGCACTGACACCGTAGTTCTCCTTTAACCAAAAAAATGTATCTGCTGGGGGGACATCAAGATTCTCCTCATCTCTCTACAGCAAAGTTGCAAACACAGGGAGACCTAAGAGGCTCTAATGAGACCCGGCCCACACCGGCAGGCAATGCCACAACGGCCCAGCCTACAATGTGCTGCTGCCAGCCGCCAGGTCGCGCTCCATGGTTAATCCCGCCATCTTTCATCTGATTAAGCAAACAGGTGACGAGCTGTAATGGAGCGGACTCCGCGCCTTCATCACAGGCCCATTAACAGCTTTTAATTACAGCAGCTTTGTTTAACAGGTCACCGCGGGGGCCTTGATATGGGGGGGATTAGCAGTACCCGTCCGAAATACCTACGGGATCTGGTGAACAGGTTCTTTATGTCTGCAATGGTAGCATTGGGTTCCACCTGGAAAACATGAGAAAGCACAGCGCGTTATTCATCAGTCTACTATACGGGAACATAGGGCTCAAAATGTCAAGTCCTGGGCTACTCGCCCGGCCTTAAGAGTTACTCGCCACACCAGTTGCCCCACCTAACCCCTACCCTGCCTTAACTCCGCCCCTAAACACAACCTCCTAAATTATTTGATGAAATGACACTGTTACATGTTTTATGCAGAATAAAGTTACAAAAATAAATATTGACAACAACAACTTTAACAATATTAACATAAAGCAATGTAAACATTACTGCCCCCCACACATAAAATAATACACTCTTCCCCCACATATAAAATAATACACCCCCCCTTTCCCTGCCCCCCACATATAAAAAAATACAC